TGTGGAGTCCCCTTCTCTGGAGATTTTCAAAACCCGCCTGGATGCAGTCCTGAGTAATGTGCTCTGGGCAATCCTGCTTTAGCAGGGGAGTTGGACTAGATGATCTCTAGAGGTCCCTTCCAACTCTGAAAATTCTGTGATTCTGTGATTCTGTGAGGTGTGTAGATGCTGTACGACAGAGAAAGTAGATATCATTGTGCCTTTGAGAAAATCTTCAAGCAAGAGCCTTTTTGGAATTGTGTGAATAGAATACAGGAGCTGTAGGAAGCACTGAAGACATGGAGCTAGATGTACATAACATTATCGGCTAAAGGGCAGAAGGTTATGGAATAACTGTGCCGGTGGTGTGGAATACTACTGTGTTAGTTAGAAAAGCCACATTTGCAAATAGCTGCAGAAGGGAAGTACTGATTTAAGGTCAATGTATGGTGAAAATGTGTAGCTCAGATAATTTTTTAGGAATGTCTGTAGGAAAGAAAGAAGGAAGTGCAAGGCCTGTCATCAGCCAGAAGGAGTAAGCAAGTTTGCGTGAAGGAGTGCTAGGTGGAGGATGGGAATAGTTGGACCTGATATGGGTAAAGGAGGGAGGAGTAAATAGGAATCTCGGTGGGGAGAAGACTGATGGCAGTAACAGAAAGCCTAGAATTATGCCTCATATATCTTCTATGCCTATGACCATTTTCTGTCTGCTTCTAAATATTTCTCTCATACTATTAATTAGCAAGTGATCAAGTGAAATGACTAGTGAAAAGGCCAGTTTGTTGGCTGTACAGAAAATTTAGAAGAAGATCTAAACTGAGACTGCAGCCTATTTCTCTACCGTATGAATTGTCTGACAAACTTAATTGCAGCCATACATGAGAGGCAGCCTGAAAACATCACCCAGGAGGCTTAGTTCTTGGAAAGTCTGCATGAAGTCAGCTGCTGGACGCTAATTTACATAGAAATAGAGCGTATAATTGTATTAAAAAGGTTGAACAGGTTTGAGCTGAATTAGAACAGGAGCTGATCAGGAATTTTTTGAGACTCCTTTTGATATCAAACATGGCAAGCTAGTTGAAGCAAAACTTTTCACAGAAGAAAAGAGAGGACTTTCTAATTTTTTCACTTGAAACAGACTCTTAAAAAGTTATATTTCATTAGATATTTTCTAGACAAAACCTAAAGTTTTCTGATCCAAAACTAATTTTCATTTTGGTGTTTTAATTACATGCAATAGGTATTTCCTAAGATAATAAGCGGTACATCTCTAAATGATTCTTTTGAAGTGACATGTGAAAGCCTTGACCTGAAATTCTGTTTCAGTTATTGTGGCTGCTGCTGTGGCTGCGGTTGTTCATGCTATTATTATAACTCACAGAAGAAAATACAATTTACGTAAATATGTATGATGACTGCAGTCTGCCACAGATGATATGACTTCCACTGCACAGTTGTGCAGCATTCATTGCCCTTATCCACCCCAGAATGAAATCAGAAGGGTAACCCTCCCCAAATTCATATATTATAGAATAATTGTGGCTATTTCTTGAATGTTGAAGTCATGAAGATGATCACAAGCAAGTCTTGCAGACAATTTTAACAAATCATTAAGCTTTATTTCACTTGAATGTGCCCAGACTTGCATTTCAGAATTTAAAAAAGCTTTCTCAGCCTTAAATTAACAAAGGATAAGATGAATGAATCTGTATATGCAGTCCCTATAAAAAATCGTAAAAGCGCTTCATATCTGTCTTCAGCAGCCCTTTCAGCCAGAGGAAAACCACAGGCTTCTCGGAAGGAAGGTCATTCTCATATAAGGCTCTAAGGGAAACAGACCTTTGAAGTTCCTTGCATGTGGTGTCATTTCTGGGTTCCAGTTGTCTTTTGAAAGTTTAAAGGCTTTATTTTTGCTTTTAAACATGGAATCGGTATTAAAATAAAATGAAGAAATTATGAAAAATACTAGTGTTTTTAGTGTAATAGTTTTAAAGGCAAAGGATCAACATCCTTGGAAAATCCTTTTATTTTTTTAATCTGGAATATGTTTTTGGATCTTGGGTGAGAGGAAATAAGTATTCTCTGAATGTTATTATTGCAAGAATCTGATTATTATTGCTACTTTTGTTATTTGTGGGTTATATTTCCAAGTTCTTATCTTTAGTATGTTTCAGTATATTTTGGGAGAATACTGTTTTTTTTAATTCAGCTTTTCTGATGCCTAATATAACATGTATCTTCAGGTTGTCTATCACATTATCAATCAGAAATTAAAGGTAAAATAGAGACAAGATTTGTGGCGCCCCTAAGAAAAATCTTTCTGTGATTGTTTAAAATTTTGTGATGTTCATTTAAATAAGCAATTAGCTCCATGCAGATAGAAGTAGTTTTGGAGATGACTGAGCACACACCTTATCTAAGCACTTAAGTCTAGATGTATCTGCTCCAAGCGTCCAGGCAATGTTTAATGAAGACATGCACCTAATCCTGCCTTTCTATAGCCTTTTAGTTTTCAAGCTTATAAATTTGGAAATGCTGCTCGGAAAATAGAAAATGCAAGTTACTTATGGCACTAGTTCCTGCATGTGAAGCATGTTCTAGGGGGCAGAACCTGCTGAAACAAGCAGACTATGTATTTTCGATGCATTTAGTACAATAAAGAACATCTGAATGCTGTTTCCTATGATAGTTCCAGAGACAGATGCTAAAGAATATTCAGCATCTTGTTTTTTAGGTGACATTTCTGGAGAAAGGGACTGACATGAAAGTAATGCCTTTTTCAGAAATGAAACTCAAAATAAAAGCGTGTATGGCTGTTCACACAAATTATACAGGTATTGAAAATTATGTGTTAAAATACAGAATTTTAAGCTACTACAGTCTCATTTTATTTAACTGTTTACATATTTGCTTGTTTCTTTAGCACATGGAGGCAGACTTTTCAGAAATGAGAGATGAGCTGCAATCACGGGATGCTCTCTGGAGAAGGATACAACTGGAATGCCAACAGTTGCATGCAGAATTGTTGAAAATCAGAGGGTATGAAGATATGCAGGAAATTCAAATAAAGTATGTATGTTGAAGATAATATTCAAAGTACTTCTGAGCTAATAACTTTTTTTACATTTGATTTAAGTTAAGTCTGTTTAAAAAGATACTCTGAATTCAAATGTCAGATTCTAAACAATTTTAGAATAAACATTTTCATTAGCAATTATATATGACAAGATTGCAGGCAATAGGTGCAGGATCTGTTAAGAGGCTTTAATGTTGCCTAGATCTTTACAAATCAATGCCTTTCATTTATTTTTATTTATATGTTTACAATGCCATTCATTTTCTCAGCATGAAAACACTTTGGAAGTAGTGCAGTTAAGGTTCTCCCTAGCCTCCTTTGAGTAAAATGTTCATCTTTTTATGGTTTATCTAATCTACTATAGCTATTTGAGATTATCTGAAATACTAATCTACAAGGCATTTCAGGATTCGTTCTGCATGCACTTGCATTGTCCTTAATCTCCAGATATCTTGCAAGACCAAACCTGGTTTAGGCCAAATCCTTTCGTTGTTTATTTTTTTTCCATCAGTGAGCAGGTCTTCCACAGTTTTACACTGAGGAGAGGATACTGTAAGGTAAAGGTTATTGAACCTTTTCTGCTTGTTTCCTGTTTTGTTTATTTCTTATTTAAAGGCATCAATCATCTTGTGTGCAACTTACTGAGCAACTAGAAAATAAAAACGCTAAGTTATTGCTATTGGCACAAAGTCAAGAACACCAACAAGAAGAGCTAAACAAGGTATTTCATATTGTTAAGTATTTCCAGGTCTTAAGTGCAATATGTGATTTGAAAAAGAGAGCGGAGTACTGACCTTGGGTATGTGCGTATGCAGAAGAGATCAGGAAGATAAATTGTGGCTTTAGGAGAGTATGAGGTTTTCTTATATGAAAATGTTTTCCTATATGGCTGCATTGCCGGAGGTATTGTATAGCTGTACAACTGATATTCTGATTCGTTCACTAGCAACACAGCTCGCTACTTCATTGAAATAATGGAAGACAGCATGCCTAAGCATATTCAGATAATACCTTAGAAGTAATAAACCCTCCAAGGCTATGAGTAATTCATAGACTATAGGAGGGAAGTAGTAGTTTGTAGGTGGTCTCAGATGTAAGATATGCTAACAGAACTGATACCAGTCAGTAGGACGGGTACCCGCACAAGGCTAAGGTTAATCAGTCACCTACTGCATGGTCTAGGGCAGTGCTCTTTTGTTTGAACTGTGCATCACATTGCATTGCACATTTTGGAAGTACTGCATGCAAGCAGTAGTGGCATGGCACTGTGGCATGGCATGTGGCTTGGCAGGCCAAAACACTTTGGGAGCAGAGGGTTCTCAGAACTCATTT